GTATCTTAGCATTGAAAAGGACGTTTCCAGGGTTCGTTCCTTGAGCGCCCCCCCGCGTCGGACCTCCGCTCGCCCCCGGGGCCTCCTCGACAGCCGGCCCAAGGACGAAGTGCGATTTTGCAAAAGGGAGCGTCGGCGTCGACGGAGAAGTTCAGCATCGGCATCTTGCCAAGACCCGACTTTTCTGATTTGAAAACTGGCATGCCCATGATATCGGCAAGATTGCTCATCTGGCGCCCGGGTTCAACATCCTTTGGCGAGGCCGAGTGTCTCGGCGCCTTCCCATCAGGATGGTTGCCTGCGCTCTGAGCATCAGACATGCCTCGGGGTTCTTCCCTCCTCTCGCAGTCTCCCTGATATCCTAGCGTTTTTTCTCCAAGCGCACTCGTCGCAGCGTTAGTGCCCATATCCAAGTGGTCAACGCACGTGTGCTTCACACAGCCCTTGCACGCGTCGGTCGAAGGCTGTGCGCAACTGCGACAGGCCTGATTCGGAGCGCCTAATCGCGTTTGGGCTCGCGGCGCGCCAGACGCCCTAATAGGGCGAGCAGCAGTGGGGCGAGGAGGTGGCTCAACATGTGCCGACTGTGCCGGTGTTGAACCAACATATTTCTCGATCCGTTGTCGCTCAAGCTCAGACATCAACCTTCTGTTTTCCTCGCCCACGGACCGAGTTGCAAGGGCGTTGTTTCTTATCTGTTCTTTTGCGTGCCTCTTCAGACGGCCCCAGGCATCGGCCATTATGTTATGGTCCTCTTCTCTGTTTGCTTGGGTATTCTGCCTTTGTTCTCCATGGGCTCGCAGCGCCTCGGCGTGCACTCTGTCGGTCTCGAGCCCAGCAGCTTCCAATTGATTGCGGACCTCCGGATTGTCTCGCGCTGCCTGGTCTCGGGCTTGTCCTTGTTCTTCCCTCCTTGCAGCATCGGCCATCTCTCTGCGTTGCGCTTTCTCTCTTTCAGCCCTCTGCTAAGAGTCAGACACCAGATTTTCCGCGATGCTCTGGTTTCTAACTGTGTCTATCTCCTCTTGAGCAAGACGCCGACGTGCTTCGTCTGTAACGCCCGCTGCGTTGGCCTCAGCATGCTGCATCAGTTTCTGCGCGTTCTCCACAGCGATAGTTTCTCATGCTCCAGAGTCTGTGCAGTTGCTTGTCTCTCAGCCTCGGAAACCGCCGGACGTCGTCGAGCCTCTTCGGCGGACTTCTCATATACTTGTGCTTCAGAGATCACCTGTTGCGCGTGCGCACTCGCAGCCCTCAGGTGTTCTCATCCTGTCTGATTCTTTCCGCCCACTCTTGAATCGCGGGATGATGGCAGGCGCGCTCTTCCATCGTGACTCACTCGTTACAAAAGCCCCGCAACGCTACATTTGGAGCAAACACTCGAACATTGAGTGCGCACTGGTCTTCGACAGGAACCCCCGGTTCGCGCGCTTTCCCAGGGCGCCGATCCCCCGCTCGACTGGGGCACGTTGGCCCGGCGTTCCAGCAGTCTTCCCGCGTCGAGAAGCTGCTGGTAGTTCTATTCGATGACATTGGCGGCGAATCAAACGCATTAAATCCTCTGCAACTGGAACGCCTGGCCCTGGGGGTCTTGCTGGAGCGCCCCTTTCGCTGCTTAGGGTAGGTGCGCGTTGTTCTCTCGCTCTTGCGCCCCTCTAGATGGCGTCGACGCCCATGCCCCTTGCCAGGTCGTCTCGTTCGTCCTGCGCGACGAGCCCATCGAGTTCTGGTGCTCTATCTCTTTTTTTTTCCGGGGCAACGAGAAATCTGGCGTGTAAAAGCCCTGCGATAAGGGCGAGGTGCTCAAGTCACCAGAATCACCATTCGGTTTCTTCGTGAGCGGGTGGGGAGTCATGCGTGAAACTTCTCGCGTATCCCTCGCTGCACGCACTGCGTCGGTTGGGCTCGATATCGGCTGTGCCGATGAACATTCACCTTGATTGAGGCTTTCTCCGTCTTTACAGTCATCGTCGGAATCAATGATGGCTTTCCGACTTGCCTCTATCATTATAACGTCAGGAGCGAGACCGAGACGCAGATCGAGGAGAGGCTCGAGATGACGCGACGGACCCGGCGAGGTGTGACATTGGGCATACTCATTTTTTTTTGTTGGTTTGTTTCTCACGTTTCTTTTTTTTTTTGGGGGGGGGGGGGGAAAACTTATGTTTTTCTTCCTATCGAGTGGGAACGGCCCCCTTCAGATTGTAGATCGCCCACAACCTCACACCGTCCATGCAGCGCAGATTGCGCTGCGTGCTCGGCGCCCAGGACTTTCAGCGCCTCATGATTCGATGGGGATATGATCCATCAACTCTTCCACTTCGAGATCTATGTCGACCAATGGCTGAAAGCCAGAGTGCGCCGGCGCCAACTCAGAGGGTCCCTCGGCGGAAGTTCTGGCCATGTCATACCTTCCGCTCGAGCGTTGCTCTCTGGATCTTGTCACTGAATCAACCGATGAATCCCCTTCTGATGATGTTTTTTTTTTTTTTTTTTTTTTTTTTACTGGGAAGGTTCAGAGGTGTTTGTCGCCTCGTTGAGGCGCTTATACTTGTGTTACGCTCGGAAAGTATTCGTTCCTCTGTTCGCCCGAGCGTTCCTTCTTGATATTCCATGCTCTGCGAAGCGAACGGCTGCGCCGTCGCTTCGGCTGCCAATCTTTTGCCTGGACATTCGTAATCCCTGCCAGATGTCCCGATGACATATCATGGTCAGTGGGCTCCGCAGATGGCATGTGTAAGAAGGCATAGTGCCGTCAAGCCTACACTAAGGTAACACTGAAGGGGGGAGGCCGGCCCGCCGGCAGACGCACGCGCGCGCGCCGCAGGCTCGCTCCTTTTCCGTTTACCTAGAGCCAAAGTGTATAGCTGCGGGAGCAGAATCAGTCAGCACAGCAGGCGGACAGCGCGTGCCAGGAGAGAGAGAGAGAGAGAGAGAGAGAAAGAGCAGGCAGGGCACAATTTTGGTGGTGGGAAGGGGGTGCATTGACTCGAGGTGTTGGTCAACTCTGGCCGCCAAAACTGAGCCGATGTCCCTCTTCTTCGCGAATTTGCGCTTGAGGGTGTCCAGCTTCTCTCGCAACCTCCTGTGGTCCATGCCTCCGCCTGTCGGGTTCGGACCGTCAAGCATCGCTGCGCCCGCCGTGGCAGCACCCGCTGGGCCGTCGTTGCCAGCGGCACCCGCGGGCGGCCCCGGCAACGCAGGCAAACCCTGCATCGCCCCCGGAACCGCCACTCCGCCAGCACCGCCGACAGCCAGAACGGGGGGCGCCACCACACGAAAAGTGTCGGCGCACACCGCCGACTGCCCAGGTCAAGTCGCCTGCTGGGCGGCCACGCTGGCGGGCTGGGCACACAAGCGCAGCACGGACTAGCCCGTGCCGAAGAGCCCGTGCAGCAGGGGGTCGTAGGCCGCCGCCGTGCATTTCACGAAGGACACCTCCACGAACATCCCGAAGCCGTCACTCGGCCAGCAGCCCCGCGCCGAGAACGTCCCCGAGCCGATGGGGGCCCCAGCGGCGGCAAGCAGCACCACCTCGAGCTCGCACCCAGGGTGCACGCCCAGCGACTGCAGCGCCATTGGCAGGGAGGGGCCGTGGATCCACTGGCCGAAAACCCTGACGTCCGGCCCCCCCAGCCACTGCCACGCCGCCGCATGCTGCTCCAAGACCACTGGGGCCGAGCAGCCCGCCGCAAGCGCCACCCATCATGGGGGCCGACGAGCCCAAGGCCCGCCAAGGGTGCGGGCATGCCCCCGCGGATCGGCACGGCGGCGGGGCCTGTTGCGAGGCCACCAGCACCTGGCCAGCCGAGCGGCGCGCCGCCCCCGACACCTGGCTGAGCCAGCGGGGGGCCGCCAGCACATGGCCAGTTGAGCGGCGCGCCGCCCCCGACACCTGGCCGAGCCAGTGGGGGGAGGCCACCACCAGCGGCTCCACCTGGCCAGCCGAGCGGCGCGCCGCCCCCGATTCCTGGCTCAGCCAATGGGGGGAAGCCACCACCAGCGGCTCTCGCGGCAGCAGGGGGGGCGGCAACAGCGGAACCGCCATCGCGCCGCCTGCACCTGCACCTGCGGCTGGGGCGGCCTTGGGGGGCATGGGCGCCTTGGCCTTGCCCATGCCTCCCTTGCCAGGCCTAAGCTTCCCCATGCTGCGCCCATGCCGCCACCACCCATGCCGGGTTTCGCCGCCTTCGCTGCAAGCCTCCGCCGCGGCGGCCCACCCAGCAAGGGTGGGGCAGCAGGCACGACTCCTGGGGGCACGAAGGGCGGTGCGCCAGCGGAGCCCGCGCCTCCCGCGCCGAGCCCCAGCAGGCCGCCAGGCCCTCCGCCAGGGGCCGTTCCTCCTCCGAGCATCCTGCTGCCGCGCCGCCACGGGGCGGCCCCAAGGGGGCCACCCTCCTGTGCAATCCCTGGAATACAACCGGAACAGCTATGGAAAGAAATGTAGGAAGTGCAAAACAACGAGGCTTCCAGAGAGAGGTTCACATAACACACGGGGACCGCTTGACTAGATGTGTGTGTGTGTGCGTGCGTGCGTGCGTGTGTGCGTGCGTGCGTGCGTGCGTGCGTGTGTGTGTGTTGTGTGTTGTGTGTTGTGTGTTGTGTGTTGTGTGTTGTCTGTTGTGTGTTGTGTGTTGTGTGTTGTGGGTTGTGTGTTGTGTGTTGTGTTTTGTGTGTTGTGTGTGCTTTGTGTGTATGCGCGCGTTTGTGTATGTATGTATGTATGTATGTATGTATGTATGTATGTATGTATGTATACATACATGCATGTATGTATGTATATATGTATGTATGTATGTATGTATGTATGTATGTAGGTATGTATGTATGTATGTATGTATGTATGTATGTATGTCTATATATATGTGTGTGTGCGTGCGTGCGTGCGTGCGTGCGTGCGAGTGAGAGTGCGTGTGTGCGTGTGTGTGTCCAACCTGCGCGCCGTGCTTCGCGCGCGCCGTGAATATAGGCATGCATCCCGCCCACGCTGCCCCCCCCGCCGTCGAGCATGTACACGCGCGAGCCAGGCACGTACTTCAGCGTCAGGCTCGAGGCGTCCTGCGGTTTAGTTGCGCTCCGGGGACGCGCGCTCAGGCCCCCCGCGGCTGGCCAGGAGGAGGGCCATGGCGTCAACCCCCCACCCCCCCCGATTTCCTCCTCCCGGGCTTCCCCCCCAACGCCCCTCCTCCCTCCCGGGCCTGAATGCTCCTGGGCCTGAATGGCGTCAGCCATGGCGTCAGCCCCCCCCCCCCGCCGACTCCATCCTCCCGGGCCTGAGTGGCGTCTGTCACGGCGCCCCCCTCCCCCCCCCTTCCTCCCTCCCTGGCCTGAACAGCGTCAGCTATGGCGTCAGTCCCCCCCCCCCCGACCCCTCCCCGCCCCGACTCCCTCCTCGGGGGCCTGAATGGCCAGCCATGGCGTCCCCCCCCTCCCTCCTCCCTCCTGGGCCTGAATGGCGTCGGCTATGGCGTCAGCCCCCCCCCCCCCGACAAAGCGAAGCTTGAGCGAGCTCCCGCCCCCCTCCCCCTTCCCTGGCCTGAATGGCGTCAGCCATAGCGTCAGCCCCCCCCGACAGAGCGAAGCTTGAGCGAGCTCAAGCCCACGCTCTCAGAAACTCACACGCCGGATCGGCAGATTTTGCCTCAGAGAGCAGCAGGCTTGGCCTGGCGGCCAAGGTGTGTAGTCGTCATTCGTCGAAGGCACGGGGCGGGACTCCCAGGGAACGCCCGGATCCTTGCGGCCTGGCGGCCGCGGTACGCAGGGTGTGCGAGGCCGGGCCAGCTTACCGTGTTGAAGAAAGCCCTGCGGATGCCAACCACGCCTCGCTGGCACCTGGCTGTGCAGGCATTCTGCGAAATTGTCAGCTGGTAGCGTATTGGGAGAAGCACCTGTCAGTTCAGCAAGTAGCCTGCGCTGGAATGTCTCAAAAAGCGGCTTCGCGTCGCGGCCGAATGTCGAGACACTCCCATGCAGCCTGAAATGCGATTGAAATGGAGTTTCTCAAAATTGATTTCAGGCAAGCAACTTCGACTCACACCACGGTTTCTGAGAGGGTAGGGCGTCAGAGAGATGGACGGGGGGAGATGTCGAGAAACGCCCGAATGTTTAATTCTTGGAGGGGCGAAACGGAGCAGACCCCACCAAGCCATAGCCTTACCGTGCAACATGCCTGCTGAGAGCACTGCCAATGCCGGCCAGATACGACCGTCATGACACAACATAGCCCCACCAAACGGCTAAACATGGCCGTGTTGGCCGAAGAGCAGCACGAAACTCCGAGGTTCTGCATTGGCGCAGGTGCCCGTCAAGGGAGAAAAGGGGAGGGGGAAGAGGAAAGGGACGAAAGAGCAGGAGAGCGGGGAAAGGGGGAAACAGGAGAGCGGGAAAGTGGGAAACAAACTGAACGGAGGGAGATGAGCTCCCCGCGGCTGTATATCACACCAGCGAACAACTGAGGACGGACCTAGCAAGCGGGAGAGGTGGCCAGCGACAAGGACATGCACAAGGAATCTCGGATCTTCTGAAATCGAATGTGATGGGCCTGTTTTCGACTACCACTACCACCACGAGTTGGTGGGGGGAAGGAGGTGGAGGATGAGGAGGAGGAAGACGACAAGGGGGAGGAGGATGAGGACCCCCTCCCCCTCCTACCTTTGGTGGTGGTGGTGGAAAACTGGCCCACCAGAATGAACGCAGCCCGTCCGCAGCCCAGAGCGGACCAGCGGAGGCTCTCTGAGGCGCCTCGGCGGCCGGGCGGGCCAGGGGAGGCCCAGCGGAAGGGCTGCAATGGGAGGCCATGGCCCCCCCTCGCCCGCATTCGGCCCGTGCACGCAAACAGACTTGGGCGGCGGGTGGAGGAGGGGGCGAAGGAGGCGGAGGGAGAGGACGGAGGAGGGAGGGGGAGGCGGGCGCGCGCGCGCTCAAATCGAGCGCCCTTGGGGCCTCCACGGCCCTGCAGAAACCCGATCAGACCTGCGGCACGGGTCGAGGCGCGGAGGCGGAGGCGGAGGAGGAGGAGGAGCAGGAGGGGGAGAGAAACGTGCCAGCGAAAGGAGCGCACAAAATCGCGCCTGCCAGGTTCCCTTGACGTTCCCGCCGGACTGGGGAACATGCCTGACAATTGGCAGAGTCTACTGTGCACTGCCCGCGCTGGAGCTTTTCGAAATTGCCCATGCCCCACGCCCCACCCCTCCACCCCCCGCTGGGAATGTCGAGAAACTCTAGCGTTTTGAACTTCCAAGCTGCAGAGGAGCTTCTTGACATTGCGCCCCCCAACCACAACGCACCCACCCACGCTCACACCGACACCCGCCCACCCACCCAGCCACCCACCCACCCCGACCCACCCACCCACCCACCCACCCAAACATATACATACATAACCGGGCACACACACACACACTTACGCCTACACTTACAATTACACTGGCACCTACACGCGCACACGCACACGCACACGCACACGCACACGCACACGCAAACGCACACGCACACGCACACGCCCACACAAGCACACACACAAACACACACGCACAAACACAAACACACACGCACACACACACACACGCACACGCACACGCTCACGCAAACACACACACACACACGCGCACACGCACATACACATATATATATATACACACACGCGCACGCACGCACGCACGCACGCACGCACGCACACACACACACACACACGCACACACACACACACACACACGCACGCACAAACACACACACACACGCGCACACACACACACACACGCAGACACACGCACACACACAACGCCCACACACACAGACACAATCCGCCAGAAGGGGAATTCCGAGAATCTCCCGCGTTGCTTCCAATCTGCGCAAGAGCCTCTTGGAACTGTTCCCGCCCCCCTTGGAACTTTTCAAACAAACACCCTACGTCGTCAGTCTTCAGGCTTCGGAGGAATTGCTCGACATTGCTCGTACTCCCCAAAACCAACACACACGCACAAACACACGCACCGCCGCCCCACTGGGAATTGCCAGCATGTTCCGCGTCGTGAGCTTCCAAGCCGAAATTCTTGACATTGCGCCACCACCCCGCCCCCTGCGGGGGATTGTGAGAAACTCCCGCGTCGCTAGTTTCCATGATGAACCATCCACCACCACCACCACACGCACGCGCACACATACACACACACACACACATCGCCCCCCCTTCCCCCCCCCGCGGGGAATTCATAGAAACTCCCGCGTCGTCTGTTTCCAGGCCGCTCAAGCGTTTCTCGAAATTGCGCTCGCCCCTCCCGCCCACAACGGGGAACTTTGAGAAACTCCCGTGTCGTCAGCTTCCCAGCCGCGGAGGAGTTTCTCGAAATTGCCCCATCTCCCAACCACCCCCCTGGCAACACACACACACGCACACAACGCACACAAAAACACACATAACACCGTGAAATCCCAAGCAATTCTCGATTCGTCACTTTCCAGGCTGCGGAGCTTCTCGAAATTGTCTCCTCCCCCCGTTCATCCACCCCCAGGGGTGAATTTCGAGCACCTCCAGCGTCGTCAACTTCCAAGCAGCGGAGGAGATGCTCGAAATTGCCCCCCTCCCTGCCGCTCCCGCCCCCGACCCCGCGCACCACGCGCGCGCAGACGCATTCACACACAAACACACACACACACACAAACACACCTACGCACGTACACAGACAACCACGCACACGCACACGCACACGCACACGCACACGCACTCGCACACGCACACACACACACATACACACACACACACGCACACGCACACGCAGACGCACGCACAAACACAAACACACGCGCGCAGACCCCCCCCCCCCCACACACACACACAATCACACACACACAAGTGATGAGAAGTTAACCAATGTTGTTTTGAGTCCCACTTCGAGTCCCCGTGGAGGCCTTCGTAGGTCAGGATCCCCGCGAGTTTTCAGTGTATCCTTTTCCTCAGCACAAGCGGGCGAGATCAACCGAGCGGGAGCCTATACGTATATGCGCCGACGTGTCGGCTTGAGCGAGCTCCTAAACCCCCGCTCGGAGGTCTGATACTGAAATGTCTGTGGTGTGAGAAGCGGCAATCAAGCAAATGACACTGATAAGAACAGATACTACTAGCCTGTTGCTTTTGGACCTTGGGAGCGGGAGCGAGACGAGGCAGGGGAGCAAGAGGAAGGAGGAAGGAGGAAGGAGAGAGGAAAACAAAAACGATCTTATCAGGCTGTTGGGCTGCTGTCTACCGGGCTCGACCGTCATGCGGATTTCCCTACACTTATCGAGCACAAACAATAAACAACCGAGCAATCGCATTCTGAAGCGCTACGCTCACAAGTGTGTGTGCAGGGCAAAGACACGTCGGAACTCTAAGAGAACTGTAAAACGAGTCCAACAGTATGTTGAAAGAAGCACACACACACACCGACCAATTAGATCAGGGGAGGGAATGAACACAAGCTGTCATATCAGGCCTGCTGTGGACCAGCAGGACCGTCACCTCGGCAGCGTGCTCGCCATCGGTGTGAGCGTCGGCCGCCACTGGCCCATCCAGGCGCGCAGGCCAACAAGGAGTGGCTGAGAAATCGCGGCGAACCATGCCCATGACTCGCCGCCTCCTTTGCCGTCCAGGATCGGCTTGGGAGGGTTGTCAGCTTCTCCCTGAGAGAAACCACCAGGCATAGCCATGAGTGCATTGATCCAGTGGGCCGCATTGGGCCAGACAAAGGCAGATACAACTCTTAGCGCAAGAAGTGGAATAATTGAAAGCACGCGCTGGATGACAAAGGTGAGCAAATTCTCGGCCGAAGGTCTCGCAAAGCCGATGAAGATGCATGTCTGGTACGCCGTCCAGATAAAGATCACTAAAGGAATCAGCAACGAGAACACACGGAGCATCGGCCACACCATTTCCCCTTTGAAAGCCAGCTCCGAATAGCTCACTTCAGGTGTGGCCAATCATGAGAGTGTGATCGTCTGAAGGTCGGTATCGCTCCAGGTCCCGTCGTGCTGAATCTTGGAGTAGATGATCTGGCCTATCTTGTTGAAGCTCGGGGCGGCTG